GGTGAATTTGGATCCGAGAGCAGATGTACAATAGCCCGCCTGAACGTCTCTTCCTCGACCTGAAGAGGTATCTTTCCACTGGACAAAAGGTCGGAGGCTGTTGGTCGTTCGCTCGGGGTATGGCTCAGAAGGGATTCAATGATCTGGCCTTGGAGCAACTTATCAGATTGCTGGAAAGTTGGCGGAAGAGTGTGGTCCTTTTCTCGGATTGCTCGAAGAGTTTGATCGCGTTCCATGCCAGTCGGTAATGGATGACACATCTCGAAGAAAATAACACCGAGCGAAAACATCTAGAACGCGTGAGCATATACGTGTGGCACCAATTGTATATCCACTACCCACATCGACCTTCTCATTGTAGTGCCCCGAGACAACTGACTTCATCTCGGGCGCCACATAGTAGGTTGTACCCAAACTGCGAGTAAAATCCCCTTCGAAGTCCGCGGCTGCGGACGAACGCACGGCCGTAGTGAATTGACCACTTGTTGCAAGACCAAAGTCACCGATGCGAGGATTATTTGCAACGTCAATGAAAATGTTGTCAGGCTTCAAGTCACGGTGTATGATGCCGTGGCTATGGATATGGCTCAAGCCATCGAGAATCTGTCGGAAGAGACGCCATGAACGTTCCGTATCATCGCACAAATCATCCCTTATTAGATCGCGCAACGTCTTGAGCAATGTTAGTCTAGAACAACGAGCAGGGCGATATTAAAACACTTACATGCTTCTCACAGTACTCCATCTGGATGTAGAGGGTAGTTAAAATGGGCCTGCCATTAGAGCCAGATCTCGCTCGGCTGAGCTCAGCGTCCTCCACACTTCCAGAATCAAGACCAGTATCATTTACTCTGTTCCTCTCTGGAGTCTCTGGGTGAGCAGGGTCGGATAACGTTCCTTCGTTTTCATCATCGCTGTCTGATGCGGCGAACTCTATTTTTGGATACCCACTAGAGCTGATGAAATCAAGGCCTCCTGTACTGAATCCATGGTGATCCTGGCTAGCAAACGGGTCACCTTCGGTGGAGGACATAGCCTCTTCCTCAATGTGATTGAAGTCCTCTTCAAGCCAAGCAGTGTAGTATCGGACAACATAGGAATGGTTCAGCCGCGATAGCAACATGGTTTCGGAAAGCGTGTCTTTCAACGCTGCGGCCGATGTTTGGGAGATCTTCTTTACTGCATATAACCGACCATCAAGCTTGTTCCGGGCTTTGACTACCTGTCCAAATCCACCACGGCCTAGCTGACCTGCCTCGTCAAAGTCTTGGTGATATCGCGAGAAAGCCGGCATGGCTCCAAAGGAGTCGAGGCGTGGCTGTCTCTGCAAAGACATAGATCCCGACGCTCTTTCTCGCATCTTTAACGGCGCATCCACCCGGAAGAATTCAGATGGCTGGAGTTGGAAAGCAGTCGGACGTTTTCTGGGATCTGGGCGGAAGAATTCACAAAGCAAGTCTTGCAGGGCGGCGAGAGCCCCATAGACACCATCAACTGATTGGCGGAGGTGTACCTGAGGAGAACATCCTTTCCAAAGCCCATCTGAAGCAGAACAATTCCAAGATCCCAGACATCGGTCTTCATGGAGGGAGGAGAACTGTCCTGCGTCAGCTCTGGGGGTAGCCAAAGCGGCGACTTTGACGCCGCAAAAGAGGGCTTTGCACAAGGAGCGTCGGGCAAAGCTTCTTCGACGTTAGACTGCAGCTTAACGATAGTTTCACCAGAAGGAGTCCTGAACAAAAAGACTCGGCCACAATGAATGTTCCCATGCACAAAACCGCTGCGGTGGTAGAACTCCAGAGCCTCGAGTAACTGAATCATCCAGCCGCGAAGCATATCAACAGCTACGGTGCCCACGATATCCAGGAGCTCGGAAAGGGAACCCTTATTTGCATACTCAAAAAGCATGAGGACGGTCCAGGAATTATCGGGTGGATCCAAGCGGCCAATTGGGCGATTGATTTTAAACCCCACGAAATCAACAAGATTGGGGTGTCGCAACCGCTTGATGCCCTCTAACTTATCCTCACTGGTGCGCATCTGCTCACGGAATGTCAATCCCTCAGAATTATTCTCGCTGAGGCAAAGCTCCTTCAAAACAAGCAGCGGCACATGGCATCGGTTCTCGGACACAACAGGCCTGACGGTGAAGGTCTTTTTGCACTGTTTGCTTTGCAGCAGTGTCTTGCCATGAATGGCGCGGAAGACCAGCGGCTGCTCATCGGTGTCGTTGACGGCCAACGGAGGATCGAAGCAGATGGCACCGGGTGTATTTTCCACAAGATCATCGACATAACTCAAATCCGCGCCGCCAGTTCGACTCTTTCGTCTTAAAATGCGAGCCTTGTTCCGCTGCCGCATCTTGTCTTCAAGCATTTCTTGTAATGCGCGTTCCTCTTCAGCAGCTGCAGCCTTTTGTTTCCGAAGTTCCTCTTGTTTTTCAAGGTCTGCGCGTTGAAGAGCAGCCGCCTCTTGTTCCATACGCTCCTCTTCAAGGCTGGGTAGATCTTTGTCCTGTGCCTGTGCCTGAGCAACATCCTCCAGAACATCTTGGATGGACACCGCCAGTTCGTAGATCATCTCACTTCCGAGCAGAGATTTCGGCTTGTTACGCAGAATGTCTTGTATTCGGGAACGCGCGCCATCACGAAAGCCGTCGAGGTTTCCCGGTGAGAGGTTGGGAATTGTCTTAGGATATGTAGCTGGCAGTTCAACCAGCAAAATGAGCAGTACGTCTGGATTTGAGGAGGCTCGCAAATGAAGCTTGAATGTCACGTCGGAGGATTGCTAGAGTGTATGGGTTAGTGACCATGAGGGGCTCGAACGGCTCGAAGAGTGCACCCACCTGCCAGGCCGACCGCCTATTTTCTACTTCTTCAAAGTCATCGCCATAGATTGAACGCAGAGCTTCCACCTCTGTCTGGTGGATTTCTCGGTAATTGGTTGTAAATATGGGGGGACGTCACGGAGGAATCGGAGGTTTGGTTTTTCTGGCGGGAGGGCTTCTTCCTCTGTTTGGGAGACATCGCGGGGCGTGGCGAAAGCTCGCCCTACATGCGACCCTGAGCGTCGTACGACATGGGGGGCTGGTGATAAAAGATGAAAGGGTTATGGGAGGTGGAAAGAAATTGGGCAGTCTTTTTTTTCCCTTCCCCTCTGAGGCTAGAATAAACAGGCGGTCAGATCATACGCCCTTCCATTTATAGAGTGGAGATGCCCAGTATAAATGACGTCCCCGTTGGTCTAACTGTGGATTTATAGATTTATTGCTTATATTGTACTTGAAGTTAATTGTATTTCATGATTCTTGCATGTTTTATTTGCTTTGAAGTCAGTCGAGATATCCCATTCGCCTATTGACTGGAGATTTGAGTGTATCATCATCGTCAAGCCAAAGAACCATTGTCCCTGCCCAATAGTGGACCCAAATATCATGAGGTGGTGATGTGCTGAGCTGGCATATACCGAGAACGGTGGCAATCATTGTCACCGCAATAGTCGATCATCTCTACTCCGTAGTGGTGTTGGCTTTGTTCCAGTGTGACCATCACACACGATCGAAGGCACCGAGCAACAAGCCGCCAGCCACAGCAATCATTGGTGCGTATCCCCAGTGATTCCAATGTCCTTGGCCATGGGTCCAGCAAACAGACCCATCCTGCAAATGCAACGCTGCTAGCGGCAATTAAGATCCAGCCCAGGGTTGAGCGGGTGCCGAAATACGAAGCAGCATATATGGCCGCCCCCATGAAGATGTCCCGGATTCCGTAGATTGCCATTAGACTGTCAACCATCTGCTTGTCCAGTACAGAGGTAGGTGGCTGGAACTCGAAGAAAGTGAGAGCATGGTCTGGACGTAGGATAGCGTTGACACCGAATCCGACAAACGTGGTTGCAATGGCGGTGGCAGCCAAGCGGAGAACAACCGAATGGGAAAGAGGCATCTTTCTGTGCCAAGTCAGTCTTTATGTTTGATGTTTTGCGTAGTATCTGTAGTGGCTTGGAATTTTCGGAGATCCAAGCGCTTGTAGAGGACAAACAACAGTGTAGAATTCGAAGTTATGGGAAAAGTAAGAATCTAGGGGGTTCTTATACACTAGAAGAAAAGCATATTTGTAAGGAGTCCGTGAGAGTGTATCAGAACCCGAGCACGAAGGATTGCAGGCTGCAATGCTGTAGGCTCCAGGGCTGATTGTACTCGTACGGCCGTAGCCATATCGTATTTTCCCCATTTAAATCTTGACCGCCTTCCGCACCGTTTCTTATTCTAATCCCTACCACTTTATATGCTATTTTTAATAGAAGTTATATATAGAAAAGTCCATTGTACAAATGAAACCTTTTTTGGTCCTTTTCTACTATATATCTAACAAACAAAGAAGGAGAAAAAGTCTATATAACTGTATGTAGATATCTGAAGACTAAGGACCTCGGGAGGCTACTACCGAAAGGCCTCTAAAAAGATATATAAATTGGAGAACACCTAAGAAGACCACCAGACTACGGCCATATAAGCGGCCGACTGTTCTTGTCTACGATATCCCAATTCTTACAGGATCTCAATTTCTACAATATCAATTTCTATAGCCAACCTTGGAATGAAATACACAACACATATGCTGATTTCGTGAAATGTTCTGCTGGCAAAATACGATCTGCGGCTATACACCGTAACCCCAGAGTCCTTCGTACACGCACGTGTGTATTCCGTACACACACACCTGATCTGGGGAAATCAACAAGACTCTTCTGGCAACCGAGTCCAACACCTTTCAAGCAAACTTTCTGAAAAAGAAAAAAGAAAAGAACGTAAAAGAAACAATATCCCAATTTTAAAACGTCCCGAGAAGTGCCAAGTGTAAACAAAAGCCAGGTGAAGCGGAACGCGAGCTTATCGATAAAGTGATCGGCACTTCTGCTTTTTCCGCCCGGACCATAAACATTGGACTCTCAACTTGGTTACAAGGATTTCGAGGTTTCTTCCAACGCTGGCAGCCAAAATGCTGGACTGGATCAAGGGGAATGAGCAAACTGCGCAGGCTACAGGTGTGCTGGTTATTTTGACCTTTGAAGCTATCCCTCTAACGTGTTGCTACAGATGACTCCAAGCTGCTAGAACCCCCTGAGACTCCAGGCCATGTCTTTGCGATTCGTGCTTTCAAGAGCGCTCTGTTTGGTACTCCGGGAGCAGAGGAAGATGAAAACAACGCGTCCCAAAATCAATCCGTTCACCAACGAAGCAAGAGTGACACGATAAACCTAGCGCCAACAGAGATCAAGACCGACGCGAAACCAGCCGACGCGACTTACAACCCGACGGGATCCCCCCACAAAAAGCATACTTGTCACACCCGGAACTGCGTTGCGTCGTAAGACGGTATCCTTTGGCGAAAGTGTCATCGACAATGAGGGGAAACGCCCTGGCTCGGCCAGTAAGCCAGCCAAGACTCCACCAAATCCTTCCGGGACCCTCAGTACCCAGTGGATGTCCGGATCATCAGATGGAAGTGGCAAGCCGAGGAGCAAACTCACCCAGACACTCATGAATGCACGCGATAATGCATCCAAGAACTCCGAACCGGCCAGCTCTGATGAGAGCACAGGAGAAGCGAAATCAGCCATAATCTCCGGGTCGAAGGATACTCTCGACAATGAAGATGTTACTACCAATCTGGAGGACCCCCACTCAGAGTCAGGCAGGTACTGGAAAACCGAATTCGACAATTACCGTGTGAGGACCAATCGAGAGATCAAGAAGTTGATCCAGTACCGGTCGATTGCCAAATCCTACGCTCGCAAGAAGGATACAGAAGCTATGCGGCTGGCCGACAAGCTGAAGGAAGAAGAAGAAAAGGTCGCCGAGATGGAAAGGCAGGTGTCACGGCTTGCTTCTTCCATGGTCGGGGAGGGGTCGACAGGCGATAAGGAGCACTTGGTTCAGGGGTTGACTAAACAAACCGCTCTTGCATTACAATACAAACAGCAGGTTACCTCGCTGCGCAACGCCTTGGAACGACACGATGTCGTAAGCGATGCGGCAAATATCACACAAAAGAAGAAGGAAGAGCTGCCTTCAAACACCCCAACGGACGAGCTTCGCAGAACACAGCAAGAATTGGAACAAGCTAATGCCAAGATTGAGGAGATGAAAAACCAACAGTCCGAACTGAATACCCTCCAGGATCTCGTGCAGAGCTCAGAAAAGAAAGCCCAAGCACTTGAGAAAGAGAACAACACTCTGAAACAAACGCTGGCCCGAGTGAAGCAGGAAATGTCCCGATATGAAGGTCGGCGAAAGGACAAAGAAACAAGACTGAAGCAGAGAGAGGCGAGACTGGAGCAGCGGATCCAAGAATACAGAGAAAAACTCAAAACGGTCACGCAAGAGCACCGTGCCTCAGAGGAGAATTTGAGAAATAGTTCTGATGCAGAGCGCCGCCACATGCAGAAACAGATAGACCTTCTAAAGCTGCGACTTGGCTCTACTGAACGCTTTCCGGCACTACCTTCCACAGAACGGCAATTTCTCAGTCCTCGCAAAGACCACACAGGCGTGCAGGTGTTTGACTTTGCTAGTCAGGATCCTGAGAAACCTGAAGAAGAACCCACCGAAGACATCGAGCTTCCCCCAAGCCCGAGTCCACGCTCGAAAGTACGAGATTCGCGGCCTGCTTTGCGCAGTGCCACAATGGGTACACTTGGTACGAGGCCGAATGCCCGACATATGGCTGCAGATGACGACGAGGTCACACATTATCTGAACGAAATCCTACTGAAGCCGCGACATGAATCCCGTAATACTGCGTTGGATGAAATTCCTCCCTCCTCGCCTCCCGATATCTCAGCCCTGAAGTCGTTGAATCGCACGTTCTCAAGACGTAGACTCGGCGAAGGCCAGCGGTCATATCGGAATTTGAACATCCCCGCCGACGATGACACTCGGCTCAGCAACCGACAGGCACAAGGTGAACGAACTCACATCAAATCCACCCTTGATTCAATGTCAGGCCTACCGTCTCGCAGCCGGTATTCTGGGTACACCGTTTCAGCGGGCGAACGCGTCGGCAAGCGGTATGGGTTGACTGATGTCCAGCGTGAAGCTCTCTCCCTGAACGAATTGCCGCTGCCAAGTCACGACTCAGGCAGAAGGACAGTCGTAAAATCAAAGCACTTGGAAAAGAGAATGCTTGAGGTTTCTTGTCACATATTGTTTGGATTAGCTTTCTGATTTGCAAATAAGGAGTGACTTTTAAGCATGGTGGGATGGTGTTCAGGTTCATAAGCGTTATTCTTTTTCATCACCTTCCAAGGTTCTTTCGATCTACGTTTTCAGCGAAAAACAATTGTTGAATTATTCTCGACCAGTAACCCGCTAGTCTCTCGATCACCGCTCGTTTCCAAACTCTCCATACAGTACCTCTCATAAACCAGACCACGTTGATTCCCTGGGTGTCGGCGGCGTCCCTCTCTCCGCGAAGAAAGATCCTTGGGCCTATGAACAATCTATATAATTGATGTGTCAAGCATTCGTAAAGAACGGGGAACTCCCCAGTGTTATCATGCATTATATAGTCGATCTTTATTTGCTTGACTCAAGTTGAAGAGAGATCTATAGTTATATGTACTACGATAATCCTAAATCCGGACACACTGTGATATACATAGCTACCCAACCTTCGTCCTTCGGGAAATATCGACGTCAATAACCTATAATGCAAAAAAGTGTGCCAGTCACAGAATAGGGAATGGGTCATAGGCGAGCACGCATGGTCCTGCATCTAGCACGAGCAACCAATGACTGGGGCAGTGGTATCTTTTATGGCGCAAGCTCTTCATTTGTCTCATAGAGAGATTGGCACATAGATATTGTATCATATCACACCTTTATTCACGATCTAGATCAGGTATTAACTCGTCTACTTCCAGCTGTGATCTCTTACTACCCTAATTCATCTACAAGGGTTCTATATTGGCATATTCACCCAGTGTGCAACGGACTTCAAAGTCTGCTGTAGAACAAGGGCGGTTGTGCCTAGTGCGCTCTCAGGCCTTGCCGTCAGAAAGCGAGATGACAGCCCATTTCCCACTCCAAGCCCACTTGCGAGACTCAGAGCCGCCGCCTCCGGGCAATGCGCGGATCTTCTCATCCTCGCCAGCGGGAAGACCGACAACGGGATCAGCCTTGCAAGTACGGAAGGCTAGAACACGGATTCCCGACTTGGGGCCAAGCGGGCCGATAGCTTCTGTGAAAAGAGTGGTGGGATCCCATTGGGCCTGGATATTGTTAGCAAGAAACTCAAAGTAAAAGAACGAAAAGCAAAGAAGCCTGGACTTACATCATTGACCAACTTCCGGTAGTTCAGGTCGCCCTTGAACAAAACAAGCTCGCTCTCCTTCAAATCTTCGAACAGCTCCGGCGCCACGGATGGCATGCGCCAGTAACCACCCTGGGTGGTCCAGAAAGGGTGCGGACGCAGGATCAGTTTACCATCCTGGTGGAACTGGCTCCACTGCTCAAAGAGGAATTGCACGTTGGAAACCTCCTTCTCGGAAAGAGGGGGGAATGTCTTGCCCGAGTCATCTGCTGCTGTGTAAAAGGCCTGCGGGTCGACCATGCTGTTGAGGAGATCGGAGAAATCCTTCGGCGTGACATCTGACACGAACCACGGCATGCGCTTGGGGTGAAGCACGACACTGGTCGCCAACCCGGCGGACAGCAAGTATCCAGCGAGAATTAAGTCAACGAATAGTTCAAACCCGGAGTTGTCTAGGACGATGTCCACGCGGCGCTCACCGTCCTTCTTCTCTCTCCGGGCCCTCTGCATTGCCTCGAAAGCAGCGTCGAGGTCGTTGACAATGATGTTCTTGTGCGATGCTTTGCGCGCCTCGGAGCCCTGTAGTTTCTGGATATCCTCGTAGGAGAGGGAGGTTAGAAGTGACAGATCGGTGGCATTACCCCACAAGCAGATCTCGCACATCTCAGAGAAGATAAGCTTCTCTGCCTGCTCGATTTCCTCCGGCGACTTGTTTTCTCTTGCTTTTCCCGACTCCGCCTCCATCGCTAATTCACGGTATCTCGCAGCGAGTTCGAGTACGGCGGGACGGGACGACTTGAATGTATTCATCTTCTGGCGGGCAAATACATCATAGCCCTTCCAATGCTGGGACAATGCGAAGAGGGCTTCCATGCGGCGGTCTATGATAGTCGTCTGGTCAGTACTGCCGTAGCTTGTCCGGTTTCCAGTTAGACAGGGACCTTGAGCTTACAGAGGTAACACTCTGAATAAAGCCAGGCCACATCGTGCCAGTGGGGGTTTCCGCGCTTCTCCAGCTCCTCGTTGTACGAGGCGATATCTGGGTGTCCATCATCATCCAGGGGGCTAGCCGCAACATCATATTAGATAAAGCTCTTGTGGTTCTGGCATAGACGGCGAAAGGACTCACGTGAGTTGTCGGTCATGCTGGAGCTCGTACTTCAACTTGGCCAAGTTGGCGATAATGCTTTTGCCTTCATTTGCCTTCTCATCGTCATTGACACCTAAGACAGTGCGATGAAGGTCATCAATAGCGCCAGTCTAGAATGGTCACAATATTCAGCAATTGATCCTCCGGCTATCGATTGTCTGCCGCAAGCTCACAATGATGACAGGCCAGCGGTCTTTGGCCGAGACCGAGGCGAAGCTCGACTTGTCGGAGGTGAGGTATTGGGCTGTCCAGGTTAGTATTTTATATTTCATGGACGAACAAGAATACTAACGGGTCTTAGGATCGAATTCCATGGCTACTCTGCAAGATGTATCTCGACCGAGGGCAAAAAGAAGTCAAAATGGCAGAATCGAGGGGACGAACGCGGGGCAAAAGCGGTGTGAAGTATACAGTTCTGCGACGTCAGAGCTACTCAGAGTTACTCGGAATACATCATTCATGCACATAAATACATTTGGAATATCAATTCTAGGTAGATCTCTTGGGCAACGCCGCGCTTGAAAATCAAATATGCCATCACATCCCCGAAAGAATAGAGTTATTCGCGTATGCCTGGGACAGTTAGCTAGGGGACTCGATTATGTAGATGGTTGAAGGTCATAATCTTACCATCGGCTTGATATCGGGGTGTGGTACTGCCTCGAATACTTCATATGCAAGCTCGAGTTCAGGGCCGATGTTGATGTAAGCACCCTTATTTTCAGTCGCATCGCAGTACTTGGGAGCAGAAAAGACAGTGATGCAACGACCATCGTGTTCAACCTCGTAACCGCCCATCCGCACCTCATGGGAGCGAATGATAGCCTCCAGGCCGTTGTTTTCACAGAAGCGCTTAGTGACATCAGGGCCAAATTGGAGACCGACACCACGCTTGCTGGGGCCGCGGCCAGCCTCGGTCTGCGGGTCTGTCCAGAGCATCTCCATCATCAGGCCCGCTTGGCCAGGCTGCCGTTGGTTGTGGCGGTTGAGCTTGCGGATATCATCTAACTTGATCTTGTCGTCGGAGAGAAGAGACCACCGTGCAGGACAAGGTACTTCTCACCAATCAAGGTGGCCAGAGGCAGAGCCGAGAAGGACTCGGAGAACACCTTGAAGACCCGCTCGTTATATTTAGCCTTGCACTCGCCTTCGAAGCCGTAGACCTTATTCATATCATCCGTCTCGTGGTTTCCACGGTTAAGGAAAAGACCGTTGGGACGCAACCACTTGTATGCATAGAGCAGCAGTGCGATTTCGCAGGACCAGGAGCCACGGTCAACGAAGTCACCGTTGAAGAGGTAAGCATGGGTATCGGAGGGGGCACCGTTTCGTCGGAAAATCTCGAGCAAATCAAAGTATTGGCCTGTTCAGTCAGCAACTGCTCAACTCACCGAACAAAAGACAATACATACCGTGCGTATCACCGCAGACTGTCAGCTTCTTTCCCGATTCCACGCCGATTTCGACCATGGTAGGCTCGTTGTATACAAGATCCTTAACAGCCTTGATGATTTGGAAGACATATTTGCGATGGATCTTCTTTCCGTTCTTAAAGCGCTCAATCATATCATCGATGAACTCCTGCGACATTTCCTCGCCAAGGCGCACACCATCATAACCGTCCTCGACATTGATAGCATCGATGTCCAAATCCGCAAAAGCAGAAGGCGGGTCAGAGATCTCGATGGCCCGCTCGAAATCTTTGCGGCGCACGAGCTTCTCACACTCGGCAGCCTTCAGCTTGGCATTATGGTTGGCCGGTTCGCGTCTAACCACAGCCTTGAAGTCCTTCAAGGCCTCCTTGTAGCTTAGAATGGCAGTATTGGCTAGGGCACGTCTCCAGTAGGCCTGTGATAGATATGGATTTAGCATACATCTCCACTAAGCCTCAATCTGCAGGAACAAGTTGTCTCTCTTGCCAGCTAATAATACCGACTAACCTTCACATAGTTGGGATCCAATTCAATTGCCTTGGTGGCATCCGCAATAGCAAAGCCGAAGGCTTCAAGCTTAATTTGAGCCTGTGACACCAAGCAAAAAAGACCGTTAGCTATGCTGATCCTAGCAAACATTCACGCGACACTTGGAATGTGCCACTTATGATCGTCGGGAACACACCTGGGCCCGGTTGCAGAAGAAGGATGGATCCTTGTCAAATTTGGCAATAGCCTGGGTATAAAAGTCGACTGCGACAGGCCAGTCGTGCTGAGCAAAGGCCTGGTTTCCCTGCACCTTGAGCGCAGTGGCCACTTCTTGATCGGTAGCCATTTAGGCGGAGAGAAAATGCGAGGGGCACGAGACAGCGATTATCGGTGCGAAACAAGGGCACGGAGGAAAATGTGACTATTATACGAGCCGGAAGAGAGAGACACAGTCAAAGAAAAAGAACAGAACTCCTCTAAATCCACTATAGACGAGGAGAGAAAGAAAGAAAAAGACGAAAGCGTGATCCCAAAAAAAAAAAGGGAGAGGGAAGAGAGTCTTGTTCCTGCTTCTCCCATGTTCTTTTTCCCCGATCGCAACGGGTCTTGGCATCCATCCAGACTTGACGCTTAACTCCCATTCATAGCTTTCTTTCTCTCTTCACATCCTCATACTTCCTCCAAATGTCTTTCTACGCCCCTCCAAATCAGCAGCGCACTCTGCGTGCGTGTATGGTCTGCTCCGTCGTCCAAATTCACAATGTAAGAGCTACTCCCCATCTCCGTTCCGCGGGCGCCTCTAACGATCCCGATTACTCCAGAAATTCATGCGTGAAGGCTGCCCAAATTGCGAGAGCACTCTCCAACTCCGTGGAAACAATGATGCTATTCAAGAATGCACGTCACAGGTCTTCGAGGGCCTGATTGCTGTTCGGGATCCTGCTGCGAGCTGGGTCGCCCGTTGGCAACGGTTGGATAACTACGTGCCGGGCACGTATGCGACCAAGGTCACAGGGACAGTAAGTGCACACTTGCGTACCTTATTACTGGAGATATGGGACACTTTTTCAATTCACTAGGTCTCTTATTCCTCTGATGAAACACAGAATTGCTAATCGTGTCTTTTGCATTGACAGCTTCCGGAGTACATTATCAACAGTCTGGAAGATTCCGGCATCAAATATGTCCCGTACGTGTTACTCGAACCCATTCCACTATTTCCGAGATGTCCTCCCTACCATACTAACAGTTCGTTCCAGACGAGACGGAAGCACTGGCGAGGAAGATGCATAAAGCACCTACACCTTGAGTCTTTAGCGCTACACGAACCCACCCTCGCCCATACAGTCTTGGTTCTGGATACCCCTACCGTGCACACACCATTGATTCAATTGAGACATGCAATATGAGGGTGGTTTCGACAATTTTGCTGGTCGTTCGGAGTTTCGGATGGGAAGCATTACCTACTTTTCTTCATATTTATTGGACTACAGGGGCATACACAACAGATTTGGATTACTTCTTAGGAGTTTATAGTTCCGCTTTCTTCATAAAAAAAAGGGCTTGCGGGGTACATATATAGACTCTACTCCGGCCCCGATGATTCGGTTTGAGTAATAACTCAATTTTGTGGACACAATTGTCCAGGAATATATATGGCATTTCTGTGGTGACATGAAGTCGTGGCAGTGGAGGGAGAAAGATGGACCCTCCAGAAGAAAATAGAGAAAATAAAAGAGGAAAATAAAACGCTCATTAAGCCAATTGAAAACGCCCGGGCACTTTTTAAAGGTCATTGCCGGCATTTTGTTTAGAGGTCCTGGACAATCTGCTCGATCCTCTCGAGGAGGATGTCGGCTGTACGAGAAAAAATACATTAGTATATGGCTCTTGGGCATGGGGAGAGAGTAGGTTAACATACCGTGGTGCTTCTGGAAGATCAGCATAGGGCGCAGACGGATGGCAGAGGGGCCACTACCACCGATGTTGACACCGAAGGACTTGGCCTTAGCGATGAACTGGTCACGCTTGGGTGTGTCCCAGGCGATGAAGGTACCTTGGTTCTTACCGCGGAGGTTCTGGAAGTGCTGGGGGTACTTCTCGGCGAGACGGGCGAGACCACCATAGAGGTAGTCACCGGTGGTGCGGGTGTTCTCAACGAGGCCGAGACGCTCGATCTCCTCGAAGATTCCGCGGAAGATCAGGGCACGGGCTGGGTCTCCCATCCAGGTGTTGAACTGGCGGTAGGGCTTGTTGGGGCGCAGAGCGGGGTTGCCGAAGTAGTAACCGGCAGTCTGGGCCTTCTTAGAGAAGGTGACCATGTCTGGGGGAGAGGATAGGTTCCAGTGATCGTGAGCCCAGAACTTACCGGTGGCACCAACACCGGTCTGCACCTCGTCGACGATGAAGAGGACGTTGGTGCGCTTGGTGATGTCACGGAGACCTTGGAAGAAGGCGGGCGAGGCATGGTTGTCACCACCCTCGGACTGGATGGGCTCGACCATCACGGCAGCGACGGGGTTGTGGAACTCCTTGATAAGACGCTCAACCTCAGCCAAGCAGCGCTGCTCCTCGGCGGCGTTCTCCTGGATGTGGTCCTCCAGCGGGTACTTCAACTGGGGGAAAGAGGCCTGGGGCCAGTCAAAGGCGGGGATATCCAGCTTGTGGATGGCCTTGCTGCGGGTGGTGGACAGGGAGCCGAAGAGACGGCCGTGGAAAGCAGACTTGAAGGAGAGAATGGACAGCTGGGGCGAACCGGGACTCTGGTTGTTCATGGTGGAGAGCAGCTCCTCCTCGGTGAACTCGGCTCCGGGGCCACCACGCTGCATCTGGCGGTAGTACATGAAGGCCGCCTTGTAGGCAGTCTCGTTGGCATCAGAGCCAGCCATGGCCGTGAAAACCTGGTTCAGGCCCTTCGGGGCAGCACGGAGAACGCCAGTCTTGAGAACATGAGCCCAATCGGAGGAGGGGAAGTTACCCAGGGCTGGGCGGTTAATCAGGGCGGACACCATCTCGGACGAGGCGGCAATCTTCTGGAGGTGGGGGTTGTTGTATCCAACTGGAATGGAGGCGATCTGAGCATACCTACTGGGGTCAGCTTCTCTATTTCCAATTGACTCAAGGCTGGTGACTTACACATCAAGGAGCTTGTTTCCATCGAGATCAGCGATGCTAGAGGCGCGGTTAGTTGGGACTTGATGGTGGGTTGGGTCTGTCATACTAGTTTCCAACAGACTGGTGGAAGTCAGTCAACATGTTCAAGCTGCGAACATCGAAGACCTCGTCGAGCTCGGCGGCGGCGGCCTGGTTCTTGGGCCCGGGGATTGTCCCCGAGACAGAAGGTGCGGTGGGCTCATTGGGGAAGTATGGCTTCTCCGCTGCCCGCAGACCGGCAGTGGTAGAGAGAGCGCGAGCTGCCGGGAGGCGAGCTGCACAGCGCAGCCGTGTGCTGGCGCGGAAAACCGAGGACATTGTGATTTTGATATGAAGTGGGGGTCGGGATGAGTGATGCGGGGAGAGAATAGCAGTCTACAATATAATGAGCTAACCGATGCAGGAGAAAGGATCCCTCGTTGATCAATATAGTTGGGAGAAAGCAACAGGTGTAGGACAGATGAAATATAATGGAACACAAACAGGCGCAGCGTGGCTTTATACCAAGTGCAGTTGGACTATGTTATCGGCCTTATCCTGGAGCTCCATAGCTTCTCCCCGCGTATGCAGCTTTTGTGTCGGTGATATTGACCAATCGGGAGCTGTTCTCGACAGCGAAACGCCGAGCATCCGATGGGGTATCTGGACGAATTGAGAAAGTCTACGCTGGTGGATTCTTGGTCAAATCGATATGGTAAGAGTTTCCATTTGAACATCCCCGGGCGGTTATTGTATTTATTTCAATTGGGGTCGAGTCACGCGCAAATGACCAAAAAGCCCAAGTCAGGGTCGTGTGCTGTAGATCCATCTGCGATAAGCTAATTTGAGTCTTGGCATTTCTTATCTACAGTCCCCGGTGTATGATGTCTTGACTATGTCGAGATCCAGAGGTCAATGGGCTTTCACCGCAATTTGTAGTACATCCTTGAATGCAGGTGTCCATGGATATGTACACGGAGTACATGATGCATTCTTTTTTATTTGGTAATATATTGGCTCATTTGATCATAAAGGTCTTGTTCTGCAACAGGGCTTGCTGTAGGATTTAATATATATTGGTAGACAAATATGCAATATAAAGTTACGCTCGCATATGTTATCAAGAAAACACGGAGAACAGAATATAATATGACATCTGGATCAACTAATAAGCAGAACTATCTTATTTATGCTGGTCTGGACTGTATTTAGTCCGTGACCTGACCTCGACTCACCTACTAAATTTCAGAAATTCCATTTTTCGCTATTAATACACTATGTCCCACAAACAACCAATCAACTGGGCTTGTGGTTTAGTGGTATAATACTCCCTTAGCATGGGAGTGGTCCGGGGTTCGATTCCCCGCGAGTCCAGATCTTTTTGTCCCTCTAAATATCGAGTGCAATTTTCCTTTTCTTTCGCGAGTATCATAGAAAGCTTTTGTTGCGTCATGGGCCTGCTGAACATATATCCTTTCGTAAACTTGAACGGCAAATTGGTCTTAGAATATTTCATAAATTCTAATTTTTTTAGTTTCCATCAAATCCATATTGGAATTATTGGGTTTAGTGATGTCCATCTGTTAAAGAAGTGGTCATTAGAGTAGTGATGCTCAGGTGGTCTCAAGATTAGATGCACATGTATACAAACTGTGTCGTTGTTCTTCGAACACAATAAAATCATACTGGATGATGTGACATAAATGTTCATACATACAAAAAGAAGAGAATAAGTAGTGTACTAAAACAGTGCGGTTAATGCAGCCTTCCATCATCGGAAGGAAAATGCGTGTCGCTCGGCCCAGACGCACAGGAGTCAGCACTCGTTGGAGAGGTATAAATTATGCTCTTCTTTGTCTCAATGCTATCCGCGGGGGTGACAGGACGGCTATGATTGTCGGACGTGATATCGTAACCGTGGCCCATCTTGTCATGGTTCGCGAGTCGTGACTCAGTCCAGCTCTCCATCTCGACAGTGCGCATAATTTCAAACCGATCGCTGTTGTAACTGGGCTGATGCAAATCATCGGCAACAAGACGGGATGTCCGAGAGCGGCCGGTTGAATACCAGAGCTTGTGGGAGCGAGTCCGTTGGTTGTAGGAGGAGGTGATGTTGCGGGTCGAGCTGAGGAGGCGGGGAAGGAAGGCTGCAATGAGGGGGCGGAGCGCTGGGGCGGAAGAGCAGATCTGTTGAGTATTAGCATTTGATATCTC